GTTGTTTGGCGATCCCCGTGAAATGGTCGTTCGACCCCAAATAGGGTCCCGACCCACAGGTTGAGAACCACTGTTCTACTGGATTCCCTTTAAGAAACCAATCCTTTCCATTTTTTCGCCCAGTTTTCTTTTTAATTCACAGCTTTTCATCCCACAAAAGAGGATCCAACAAGACGAAAGCAACTTGGGGTTTTTCAGCATTTTTGTGTGTGGAAAAAAAGAGGGTATATTAATCCTCCTTTGAATGCCAGCATGCGATTCATTTACAATGAAGTTGCTAATCGCTGAAGAAAAAGGCCACTAAAATCTAATTGTCTTAGACTTTCTCAGGGTATAGAAAGAAAGGCAGGAATATTTACACAAAGAAAACAAACTGTACATTTGGAGTAGGATATTTATTCCAGTGACGATTTTAAAATATTTGCATTGTTTCCTCTGTTGATCAACTAACTTGGGATGGGTATTTGGGGCTCTTTTTTTTTTTTCCCTGATGAATGCAATTCCTTAGGGTGCCTTTTGGCTAGAGTGAATTATTCCTTTCCTCTTCTCTTTGATCTTCTCTAGACATACAAAAAAGTCTTCAGAGGAACAGTGGAATTTAAAGGTGAAATGATTAATTAACCCCGGCCCACTCGAGGGGGAATAAACATCTGAAACAATAAAAATAATTATACTGATAATAAGTTATGTTTGTTATGCAGGGCTAACAGAAGGCAAGGGCAAAAGCATTGGAAGACTTTCACCATTCCGGTTTGCTAGAAAAAGAAAATAAGGTGGTTAAATGTAACTATGATAGTCAGTTTGGTGTAGCGGTTAGGGCAGGGGTAGGCAACCTTGGCTCTTTTATGACTTGTGGATGTCAACTCCCAGAATTCCTGAGCCAGCCATGCTGAGGGGAAAGGGAGAGGTTTCTAAGCTGAGCCATGCTGGCTCAGGAATTCTGGGAGTTGAAGTCCACGAGTCATAAAGCGGCCTAGGCCTAGGCCAGAGGTAGGCAACTTCGGCTGTTTTATGGCTGGTGGACTTCAACTCCCAGAATTCCTGAGCCAGCATGGCTTGGCTTAGAAACCTCTCCCTTTCCCCTCAGCACGGCTGGCTCAGGAATTCTGGGAGTTGAAGTCCACAAGTCATAAAAGAGCCAAGGTTGCCTACCTCTGGCCTAGGCCTAGGCCGCTTTATGACTCATGGACTTCAACTCCCAGAATTCCTCAGCCAGCATGGCTTAGCTTGGAAACCTCTCCCTTTCCCCTCAGCATGGCTGGTTCAGGAATTCTGGGTATTGAAATCCACAAGTCATAAAAGAGCCAAGGTTGCCTACCCCTGGGTTAGGGCACAGGTCGGCAACCTGCGGCTCCGGAGCCGCATGTGGCTCTTTGAGCCTTCCCCTGTGGCTCCCAGCCTCCATCTCTGCAGGAAGCAGGAAGGGCAGGAGAGAGCTAGCTAGCCCAGCTAGGCTGATTCAGGAATTCTGGGAGTTGAAGTCCATGAGTCATAAAAGAGACGAAGTTGTCTTCCCCTGAGCTTGTTGGACAACAGCTTGAAGCTTGCCAGGTGAGCAGCAGATAGGAGAGGGGGGAGAGAAAGAGAGAGAGAGAGAGAGGGAGGGAGGGAGAGAAAGAGAAAGGAAAGAGAGAGAGAGAAAGAAAGAGAGTGGGGGAAGAGGAGTGGCAGACCAAGGGCAGATAGGGAGGGAGAGAGAGAGAGACAGAGAGAGAGAGAGAGACCCTTTTGACATCTAAAATGAAGATAACACTGCATATATCCTTTTTTTTACCTGTGTGTGTATACACACACACACATATACACACACACACACACACACACACACACATACATACACACACACAAACACACACACACCTATAATAAAGGTAAAAAAGGATATATGCAGTGTTATCTTCATTTTAGATATCAAAAGGGTTTTGCAGCTCCCGGTGTTTTGTTTTTAGTGCGAAATGGGTCCAAGTGGCTCTTTGAGTGTTTTGGGTTGCCTACCCCTGGGTTAGGGGATCAGGCTAAAAACCAGATGACTGAGTTCTGCCTTAGGCACAAAGCCAGCTGGGTGACATTGGTCAATGACCAGGAGGCTATGAATTCTAGTCCCACCTTAGATATGAAAACTGGCTTGAGAATTTAAAGACAATCACCAGGAGACAGTGAGTTCTAGTCCCACCTTAGACATGAAAGCCAACTGGTTACTTTGGGCCAATTGCTAGGAGATGGTGAGTTCTAGTCCCACCTTAGGTATAATAACTGGCTGGGGGACTTTGAGCCAATCACCAGGAGATGGTGAGTTCTAGTCCTGCCTTAGGCATGAAAGCCAGCTGGGTGACTTTGGACCAATCACCAGGAGATGGTAAGTTCTAGTCCTGCCTTAGGCATGAAAGCCAGCTGGGTGACTTTGGACCAATCACTAGGAGATGGTAAGTTCTAGTCCTGCCTTAGGCATGAAAGCCAGCTGTGTGACTGTCAGCCATAGAAAGGAGGGTTGGGGGAAACACCTTGCCAAAAAAACTGCAATGATTAACTGAAAGGCACCGCTCCCCCAAAATAGATAAATTAAATAAGAGAAAGAAAAGAAAAAGTACCATATCAGTAAGTTCAATATACAATATCCCCAAAAGCATCAACATAGAGGTTCCTTAGCTTATCACTATTATAAGGGCACATTTTGTGCCAACCGATAGTTGCCTGAAAATAAACATGCGCCGGTCTCACCCATTAGCTGGAGGTGGAAGGCCTCTGATGCTCTGATGGATTTTTATTAAAGTTTAGAGAAGTTATGTTGTTACTGTATGTGACAAACCACCTCAAAAATTCCTGTGTCTGAGAAGAGCAGTATATAATTTCTGCAAAGAACCGGTTTTTTTGTAAGAAACGTATGATTCCCACTGAATTTAACAAGGAAAAAGGAGTCTTTCAAACTTCACCTTCAGAACTGGTTTACATGTGGTCTGATGGAACCTCCCTTTTCACACTAGACCAGAGGTAGGCAACCTTGGCTCTTTTATGACTCGTGGACTTCAACTCCCAGAATTCCTGAGCCAGCCATGCTGAGGGGAAAGAGAGAGGTTTCCAAGCTGAGCCATGCTGGCTCAGGAATTCTGGGAGTTGAAGTCCACGAGTCATAAAAGCCAAGGTTGCCTACCTCTGGCCTAAGCCTAGGCCGCTTTATGACTCGTGGACTTCAACTCCCAGAATTCCTAAGCCAGCATGGCTCAGCTTGGAAACCTCTCCCTTTCCCCTCAGCATGGCTGGCTCAGGAATTCTGGGAGTTGAAGTCCACCAGTCATAAAAGAGCCAAGGTTGCCTACCTCTGGCCTAGACCATACATTATTATAATTGCCTGAAGCAATTCTCAATTGGTGTGGAGAAAGAAGCTTTCATTCTTTCAAACCAGGGTTGTTGGGTAGCACCATATGTACATTTCTACAGTTACCGGCTTGTGGAAAAAATCAGTACGTTGCTGATGATCAGCATCGTCATAACCATAATCAGTGATACTTACTAATCACGCTGTATTTGCTATTCACATTTCAATTGGGGCGTTTGGATAGAAACACTAAGGGCAGATATGTCCTTTTTGATGATGGCCTACAGAAAACTAATGGACAAAATGTGTTGTACTTGCCTTGAGCCAAGCTACAGGACATTGACATGCCTAGGTGAAGGTTTTGCTGATCCTCATGCATCTGGCACCGATTCGGAGTTGGGTTCTTTTGTATGGGCTTGAGCAATAGATCTTCTGACCTGAAACTTAACGTAAGGTCTTGATCCTTTGCGTCCGACATTCATCAAGTCAACCGAAGTTCAAATCTCAATCTGCGCCAGATAAGGGTCAACAGAACTTGGGGGGGGGGCTGGACTTGCACTGCTGATGGCAACTTAATGACTCCAAGCTGATGACGGATTTAACTTCACACCCAGCTTTGTCTGCTCTTCTCCTATAGTACCTGATTTATAGCACAAATTGGGGGGCAGAACTAACAGAAGCAATCCTATATCTCAATAACTGAATCCAGTATCCGCTACAACAGGGGTGTCAAACTCAATTTCATTGAGGGCCGCATCAGCATTGCGGTTGCCCTCGGGGGGGCAGGGGGGGCTACTGGGGGGGCTTGGATGGAGTGGGTGTGGCCTACTGGGTGGGCGTGGCCAGCTCTACATCATTCGCTTCAAGGGTGCTTGTGGGGGCCTGGGCAGGAGTGGGACAGATCTGAGGGTCTCTGGCAGAAGGGGGTGGGACCGGGGCAAGCGCCAAGGCATGGTCCATTTCTTCATTCTTCACAAAGGGTGACCCCTCCCCAGCATGCACCCAGAGGGCAAGGCCGACGCGGCAGGGCCTGGTTCCTCGCTGTTTCCAGATGGCCTTGTGGGGCTAAGACTGAATGCGTTTCAGCATAGAGGGCCATCACAAAATTGTACATTGGCTCCGGCCGGCCTGGACCAGGGCCAAGGCAGCGGGGGCCGTTCCCTCACTGTTTCCAGGATGGCTTTCCGGGCCACATGAAACCACTTCGCGGGCTGCATCCGGCCCCCGGGCCTTGTGTTTGACATGTCTGCACTACAACATATGGCCTGGAGAATAAACACATGAGTAAAATGCGCCCACAATTAAAAAACGCCCTGCATCTTTCAGTTAAAACATATTGCACCCACCATTAAAAAACCCCTTACATCTTTCAATAATATTGCTTTCCCTTAAGTTTCTTCAACAAACGCTTTGGCCTGATCACGAACAGCCTCTTGCCCTAAATTTAGATTTTTCACTGAAATGTTGGATGATTAATCTGCACGTCAGAGACTTGTTTCAAGCCCAAAGCCAGTGTTTTTGAACCCAAAAAAGGCCGACGGAGATTTGAAATCTGAATTTGAAATCGCACCGCAGTTATGGATTCAACTAACTCCCTCCTTTTGAAAGCGGCTGCACCCCCCTAACAACCGGAACACCGTTTTACCCCTGCACGGAAAGGTATAGTTTAGAAACAAGGTTTACTCACCATGGAAGAGTCCCCACTTCCGTTTGCCACCGTTGCTCCTTCACCACAGGTGGGTAGGTGGGTAGAAAGTTGACTAGCCCTGCCCCCATCTATGACATCACACTCTACCTCATAAAAGGTAGTGAAAGTGCTCTGAACTCCAGGCTGATTTCCGAGAGATACAGAAAAGAAAGAGTGTGTGTGAGAGAGAGAGAAAGAGAGAGGGAGAGAGAGCAAGAGAAATATGGTGCCCTATTGTAGGAGGTAGGAGACTGGGCCGGGGAAGGGGAAGTGGAAGGGTAAGAGGAAGTGGGAGGGGAAGGGAAAGAGGAAATGGGAGGGGATGGGGTTGTGTGCTGAAAGAGTTAGGCTCCACAACTTTTCAGGGACTTCCCTGGTGAGTAACTCTGTTTTAGCAAGGCTCTCCCTTGCTCCCTGAGCACAGGCATATCAAAACCAGGATTACTTATAAGAAAGGGGAGTGATGGGAACGATGGGTTGAGGAGGACAGGTAGTCCATAATAATAATAATAATAATAATAATAATAATAATAATAATAATAATAATAATAATAATAATAATAATAATAATAATAATAATAATAGTAATGATGCCTTTTGCAATTGACTAATAGCGAATTTGTCAATGCCAATGGTGTTCAAGTGGTGCTCCAGTTGTTTTGGGATTGCACCCAAGGAGCCTATGACTATTGGTACTACCCTTGCTTGCTTATAATAATAATAATGTTGGAAGGGACCTTGGAGGTCATCTAGTCCAACCCCCTGCTCAGGCAGGAAACCCTATACCATTTCAGACAAACGGCTGTCCAGTCTCTTCTTAAAAACTTCCAGTAATGGAGCATTCACCGCTTCTGGAGGCAGGTTGTTCCACTGGCTAATTGTCCTAACTGTCACGAAGTCTCTCCTTAGTTCTAGGTTGCTTCTCTCCTTGCTTAGTTTCCATCCGTTGCTTCTTGTCCTGCCTTCAGGTGCTTTGGAGAATAACTTGACTACCTCTTCTTTATGGCAGCCCTTGAGATATTGGAATGCTGCTATCCTGTCCCCCCTCATCCTTCTCTTCATTAGACTAGACATCCCAATTCCAGCAGCCGTTCCTTATATGTTTTAGCCTCCAGTCCCCTAATCATCTTTGTTGCTCTTCTCTGTACTCTTTCTAGAGTCTCAACATCTTTTTTACATCGTGGCAACCAAAAATGGATGCAATATTCCAAGTGTGGCCTTACCAAGGCATTGTAAAGTGGTATTAACACTTCAAGTGATCTTGATTCTATCCCTCTGTTAATGCAGCTCAGCACTGTGTTGGCCCTTTTGGCAGTTGCAGCACACAGCTGGCTCATATTTAAGTGGTTGTCCACTAGGACTCCGAGGTCCCTCTGACAGTTACTACTATTGAGCAAGGTACCTCCTATACTATACCTGTACATTTGGTTTTTGTTGCCTAAATGTAGAACATTACTTTTTTCACCAGTGAATTTCATTTTGTTAGATAGCGCCCAGTGTTCAAGTCTGCCCAAGTCCTCCTTGACTTCCAACATTTCCATTTGAAGTTACAACGGTACTAAAAAAAAAACGGGATTTATGAGAGTTTTTCACATTTACGATGGTTGCAGCATCCCCCTGGTTCTGTGATCAAAATTCAGCCGCTTGGCAAACGACTCATATTTATGACAGTTTGCAGTGTGATCCCCTTTTGTGAACTTCTGACAAGCAAAGTCAGTGGGGAAGGCAGATTCACTTCACAACCGTGTTACTGATTTAACGGCAGTGATTTTCTTGACAAGGGGGGCAAGCAAGGTTGCAAAATGGAGCAAAGCTCACTTAAACTGTCTCACTTAGCAGCAAAAATGTTGGGCACAATTGTGGTTGTAAGTCGAGGACTACCTGTACGGTGGTGCTAAATTAAAGACTGCTTTTGTCTGAATGGAGTGTAACTGCTGGGCAGCGGCCTTCATTTCTGCAAGCTCACATTTTGTGCAGAATCTGGGTGTTCCTCTGATTCTTGCCACAGGTGAGCATCTGAATACAGAATAACAGAGCTGGAAGGGGCCTTGGAGGTCTTCTAGTCCAACCCCCTGCTCAGGCAGGAAACCCTATAATATTTCAGACAAATGGCTGTCCAGTCTCTTCTTAAAAACTTCCAGTGTTGGAGCATTCACAACTTCTGGAGGCAAGGAATTCCACTGGTTAATTGTTCTGACTGTCAGGAAGTTTCACCTTAGTTCTAGATTGCTTCTCTCCTTGGTTAGTTTCCATCTGTTGCTTCTTGTCCTGCCTTCTGGCGCTTTGGAGAATAGCTTGACTCCCTCTTCTTTGGGGCAGCCCCTGAGTTATTGGAAGACTGCTATCATGTCCCCCCTAGTCCTTCTGCAAGAGAACAGGAGCAGAGGAAGGCGTGGTTTGCACGCGGGACTTCAGGAGATGATGATATGATGGTAGCACTCGCTGGATAATGGCGGACCAGGTTGATGGTGTGGCAGTTTGCTGCAGAGACCACTGATACTACACATAGGGAGTCCTTGACTTATAACCATTCATTTAATGACCGTTTCAAGTTACAATGGCGCTGAAACCAGGAACTTACAATTGGCCCTCGCACGTACAACCATTGCAGTATCCCCACTGATCAAACATCGGGAACTTGCCAATATTTACAATAGTTGCGACATGCCAGGACTATGTGGCCGCCATCTGCAAACCTCCCAGCTGGCTTTCAACAAACCAAGTTAATGGGGAAGAAACCAGATTTGCTTTTCCCTTAACAACTGTGGCAAAGCAAGGTTGTAAAATTGGGCGTGACTCATTTGACAACTGCCTTGCTTAGCCACAGAAATTCTGTTCCCGATTCTGGTCGTTAAGTCAAGGACTACCTGTGTTTTAGTCCTCTAAAAGGGCCACAATTCCACGTGAACAATCATCTGCTGCCCCTAACTCAGGGGGCAAAACTGGCCTTGTCTCCTTCTGTCTATCTTTGGATGAGGGAGATAACCGATTTAAAAATGTGGGAAGTAAATAAAGAAAGGAAGAACGTTTTCCGTGAAGCAACATATGGCATCTTCACTCATCGCCCAGCCATCCGTGACGCGACTGGAAGCCTGACTGCATGACTGTTATCTTAGCTCAGCCACGGATGGGTGAATCTGAAAAATATTATAGATCCCTCGTATGAAAAAGACCTGGAGCCACTTTCGCATGTGAATTCATTTGGAAGGGGAAAAGCTTATCTTCCTTTCCGGTCCATATGATTTGAGATTTTGGGCTGGTGATAGAGCTCAAGGCCTGTTTAATCAGGATAAAGAAAGAGGCATCATGTAAGCTAAGGCTGAATCCGTGGGGATTCTCTCCCATTCTCCCTTTTAATTCCAGTTTTGTAGATGCTAACGTGATGGCTTCACCTCTTCTGTTCTCGGCATGACTTCTTAACTCCAACACTGCATTTAACACTGGTGTGTGTGTGTGGGGGGGTCCTTGGGGCTCTCTGAGCTTGGTGGTTTTCTTGCAGACGTTTCGTTACCTGGCTAGTTAACATCATCAGTGCTAGAAGGGAGCGGGCTTTTTTGAGAGGAGGAGGAGGAGGAGGAGGAGGAGGAGGAGGAGGACTGTGGGGTCTTTAGTGCTCTCTGAGCTTGGTGGTTTTCTTCCAGAACTTTCATTACCAAACTAGGCAACATCATCAGCTTTATGATGTTTCTTTTCTTTTCTTTCTGTCTGTCTGGAATATCCTACATCCAACCCATCTCATATCCAGCAACTCTGGGCGGCTTACAAAACAAAAACACTGAAAAAACATTAAACCATCCATTGTAAAAAAAAAAAAAACCACTGCAGATACAAACATTAACAGATAAAATGAAGGAGACAAGACGACAATGATGTTACCTAATAATAATAATAGTAGTAGTAGTAAAGTTGGAAGGGACCTTGGAGGTCAGCTAGTCCAACCCCCTGCTCAGGCAGGAAATCCTACACCATTTCGGACAAATGGCTGTCCAGTCTCTTCTTAAAAACTTCCAGTGTTGGAGCATTTACTGCTTCTGGAGGCAGGTTGTTCCACTGGTTAATTGTTCTAACTGTCAGGAAGTTTCTCCATAGTTCTAGGTTGCTTCTCTCCTTGATTAGTTTCCACCCATTGCTTCTTGTCCTGCTTTCAGGTGCTTTGGAGAATAGCTTGACTCCCTCTTCTTTATGGCAGCCCCTGAGATATTGGAATACTGCTATCATGTCCCCCCTTGTCCTTTTCTTCATTAAACTAGACATACCCAATTCCAGCAACCGTTCCTTATATGTTTTAGCCTCCAGACCCTTAATCATCTTTGTTGCTCTTCTCTGTACTCTTTCTAGAGTCTCAACATCTTTTTTACATCATGATGACCAAAACTGGACGCAGTATTCCAAGTGTGGCCTTACCAAAGCCTTGTAAAGTGGTATTAACACTTCACGTGATCTTGATTCTATCCCTCTGTTAATGCAGCCTAGCACTGTGTTGGCCTTTTTGGCAGCTGCAGCACACGGCTGGCTCATAGTTTGGCACCTAGTTTGGTAATGAAACATGTGCAAAAAACCCCCAGAATAACAGAGTTGGAAGGGATCTTGGAGGTCTTCTAGCCCAACCCCCTGCTCAATCAGGAGACCTTGTACCATTTCAGACAAATGGCTCTCCAGTGATGGAGCATGTACAATTTCTGGTTAAATGCTCTCCACCAAGCTCAGAGACCATCAAAGACCCCCCACAGTTCAACCCTGAGCTACCAATATTCTCAGTGTGTGCATGCCTGCGTGCCTGCGCATTAGAACTAAATAGCATTTGTTGATGAGAAAGCTGAAGCAATGCTTGATAATAAATCATTTTGAGCTAACTGATGGGGACAAGAGGATCTCTCTCCTCTCCAACAGTGATGGGATGTGTGGTGCTCACCCGAGAATCTTTCGAAAACTGATGTATGGATATTGCTAGGCTGTGCTGAGGGAGTAAGTGAACAGAATCCACTGATTTACAAAGCACACTTGAAACATGCGATGTCAACACATGGAGAGACGGGTGATCACTCTTTCCAAGCCTGTCAGATTAGCCCAATGTCATCTTACCAGAAGGGAAAACATCTTTTCACAAGAAATAAATATATATATACATATAACGGGCCCGATAA